GCTTGTGTTTATTTCCTGACTTCCGTAGTGTCTTGGCTCCACCGAAACAAAATGGACACAAATTACAAATCTAATAGTATAATATCCCGGAGGAGCAAGCTACTTAACCCTAAGTTTTATAGACATACACTTTAAAAAAGCGTAATTAACTTTAAATTGTGCCTCAAAAGTACGTTTTGGGCATTTTTTTTCAATGGAAATGTGCAGGTAGAGTGCTGGCTACAGTAATAATTTTAAATTCAATACCACCGTACACTGTGGCTAGTCTGATTCTAAACATCTCAAGGGTCAGCAGAAGGAAAGACATATAATGTATTGGTAGGATCAGATAGATATTTAGGATAACAGCAATAAATCATTAAATAGAAACAGGTGATATGAGTCTGATAAAACAAATGCCATAGGGGCTGAGCACCAGGGATGTTGCCACTTCTATAGAACACCAAGATGTTGCCAGTGCAGATAATGAGTGGATGATGATCATACATGGATGGGAGTTTATTGTACAGTGAAGAAGCTAGTACTTTGTTTAATGCTGTTATGTATCAGGCACTGAAAGTGGAGCCTTCACTTCAGCTAATTAAAAACAAACCTCATAGGTATCTTAGTGGTGGACCTGCTTCAGAAGTCGTCAGTCAGTTTCACTTATGTAACAAGTGAACTGCAGTTGTATAGTAAACAACTAAGAACCTTCTGCAGTTGCAATCCATTAATGTTCATAAACCTAGTATGTGTACTCTGCCTAAAGTTCCACTGAAACAACATCTACACAAGTGACTGAAAGGAACATCAATTTTATAGAATTCATGTGGGTGAACATGGTAGTACATATTTATGGCTTTCCTTTATCATGGATAGACGAATGCCTGGATGTTCTGCAAAGTGCCTGTTAGCTCAGTAAGCTAAATATGGTTTCTGAGTACTAGAAAGTCAAACTGAATGACAAAAGTAGATCTAAAAGCGCTTTCAGTAGCACCCAAAGAGGGCCATGTGCAATGCATCTTGTGTAATGCTTTTGTCTCTGATGGAGCTTATCCCAAGAAGACTGCAATGGAAGAGATGTCTCATCTATGTGGATAGCATTCTTAACAAACTTGAGGCTGAGGCACTGGTATTGGCTTACACTCAATATTATTTATTCTGAACACCGATACCAGTGAGAGTGGAATTATAACGGTATTGTCACAGATACAAAATGGTATGTAATGTGTGAGTGCATATGCAGACTGTATAGTAGCAACACCTAAGTGCCAATATTGTATGACAAAGCAGTTGTTGTGACTGTAAAAAAATTCTACCACTACTTTTATTGTAGGAAATTCACTATTTAAATATACCACGCATCACTGAGATGGTTGATGGATTTCGTAAATCAGAAAAGTATGGTAATGCATCATTGGACATCAATGCTTCAAAATTACAATTTCGTTGTACAACAACTTCTGGGTCACAAGCATGTAAATCCTGATGAGTCATCTCACCAACTGGTGAGAGCAAGATTACTCGCAGTTTAGAACCTAGACACCATGCTGTAGCAATATTTTTCAGTAACAATGAGCTACATGAAAATTAGTAATTCTTATCGATGGACACCACAAATGATTAATCACGAATTTTACAACTGAAGGACTCAGACGTAAGTTGGGCTCTACTTGCCATGTTTTAAGATAAAGCATGACCATAAAAACTATAAAATCTAAAATATATATGATTGGTTATGGAATATAAGATACTGTTTTGTATCATCGTTTGTTTGTAATTAAGCACAAAGCTACACAATGGGCTATCTGTGCTCTGCCCACCACGGCTATCGAAACCCGGTTT